CTTCCTTTTGTTGTATTGACTATGTTTTAGATGGAGTTGAAGTTTCCTCCTTTGAATTGTGCATTATTATGATGTTTCATGCATGATGGGCTGCTAGTTTTGAGTCTTTAATTTCGTAAAGTGTCTAGATTGTCATTTGAGGACGAATGTCCCCAAGGGGGAGATATTGTAACACTTCAAAAACTAGTAGGCTAAACTAGAGCTTGACGTTAGGGTTAGAGCCTTGAAATGTACTTCCTTGTACCTTAAAGTAAGTATATCATGTTAAAACGTCAAGGTTCAAATCCCAAGGACCAATCATGGGTCCTTGAGGAATGAACCAAGAATGCACGTGGGCAGTGACCCTCGAGGGGCCACTCACACCCTATAGGCCCCCCACATCTCGTGGGTGAGGGGAGGTAGATAGAGGTTGTAGAACCAGGCTGCAGAACTCTGACCCACGCTTCACCAGCACGGGTCGTGGATCCAACCACGGTCCGTCGGTGAGGGGGTCGTGGGTGATGCCTAGGAACCGTTTTTGTGAGTTAGTTAAAGGTTGTTTTGAGGTTTTACTTTTTAATTAAATATTAAGTGACATCATTTTACACTTAATTAAACTAACTATATAAGGTTTTCAAGCCCTAAACTAAGTCATATAAATCATAATTTCTAAATCCCAAATCAAAATCAACTTTTCCCCCAAAACTCTCTCTTTAGAACTCCAAGGAAGAAGAAGAAGAAAGGTGAAGCTAGGGTTGAAGGAACAAGTTTTTTCACTCAAATTCGTTGGATTTCTTCACACCAAGGTATGGTAGCTCTTCATCCATGGATAGACTTTATCCATGGAGCCCCTTCAAAACCCCTAATTTCAAAGCTAGAAATCCCAAAAGTTAGGGTTTGACTTCAATCTCATGGATTCCTTTCAAATTCATTTTTAATGATTGAATTATGTTTTATTATTGATATATTAATGATTTTATATGGTTTTATGTTGAATTCTCCAAGAATCCATGAATTCCCCTATTTTCCCCAATTTGGATCTCAAAGTGTGGATAATGATTGATGCTAGTAGAATATGATAAAATTATGCATGTAGTAATTGAACTACTTGAATTATGTTATCATCCATGTCTAATGTAGTAATTCTATATGTGTTGAATGAATGTGATCCTTGATCCTTGAAGGGTAAATTATGATGATGTTGTTGTGTTGATTGAAAGGCTATTCTCATGAACACATAATGAACATAATGTGGAAGGTTTTTTCACATGATGATGATTCTAAGGTTTAAAGACTATTCTCACCTATTGAATCTATGAGCTATGTTATGAATTATGTTGGATCGAGTGTCAAGGCACTCTTCCAAGAATATGAACTTAAGTCAAGACTTAATATGTGCTCCATGGGAATTATTCTTAGCATTGAATTGATATTGACTATGAGATGGAAACCTTTTCGTGAGAAAGACCGGGTTTCTAGAAGCAATCTCTTAAGATGGAAACCTTTCCGTGAGAAAGTTCGGATTTCTAGTAACAATCTCCTTATCCCCCATAAACTATGTGCCCCCATAGGTCTTTAGCTAGTGGATCCACCTAAAAGCTATTATGATGATGGTACTACCTTAGGCAAGTAGGACAACCCTTTTCGGTGTGGGTAACACCGGATTCCATGTTAAGCATGTCGCTTAAGGCTTATTCTCACTATGAAAAAGAAGATGAATTATGAACTATGGTTACTCAAGAAGCTTTACTTAGCATGGGTAGGATTATGGGGTCTTATTCATGCATTGCACAAGTAGACTTTGAGGGTATTTATGGTATGTTTCTCATATGGTATAATGATCTATGGTATGAACATGATTATGACTTATGAATTTCCTTTTTCCTTCAAGATGATGCTTTAACTTAATAAATCGCATGCATTCAACTAAAATGTCCCTTTTTGCATGTTTTCAAGGTTTTTAAGCATGACTATCATAACTTTTATGCATGGCTATCATACTTAGTGCATATTTGTACTAACCCATATTTTCATTCATTTTACTCAAGTGTAGGGTTTGGTTCGAGCTTGGATTTAACTATTCTTCTTGCTTGTGGTGAGTCCTCATGATTCGAGGGCGGGAGATTCACTTTGAGTTTCATTTTAGTATTTTATTTTCAAACTATGTTGTATGGGTTGTATCCCTTTTCATTTGGACTATTTTAATAGATGGCTAATTGAGACAAGTGTAGACTTCCACTTTGCTTTTATGAAATCTTCTTAAGACTTTAAATGCATTTTTTCTCTTATTGTTCTAATGTTTTATTTTATGATATGCTAAGCGGCTTACATGGTGTCTTTAGGGGTATTATGTGTCTTGTTACGTCTAGAAGGTACCCTTGGGTTGTGACAGAAAGGGTGAGGTGCGGTGGACTTGTTTTTTGGAGAAAGAAGAATGTGAGATAGGGTTTGGGTCTCTTAGGCTAAAATAGGAAAGAAATGGGCATTCGATCTTGATCGTTGGTTTAAAGTAACGAACGGTTAGGATTATATCAGGATTGTTAATCAAATTGAGATGGGTGGCTCAAATTAAAAGATGAGGTTTTTTTAGAATGGAATTGAATCAGAAAGGCTATAATTGAAATAAAATTGGATTTAAGGGCTCGATTAAAATGGATTGAATAGGAATAAAAGGATATGAATTAAGTAATTTGAACAAAAGAGGCTATGATTTAATTGATTTAAGGGAAGATTAAATGAATTTCTATTTAATTTAGGGTCTTGAACCCAATAATTCTCATTTAGAAATTTAAATATGTAGTGAATTATTCAATTGCTTCACCATTAGACAATGCACAAAGATGAGTCCCCTTATAAGATTGGGTGAATGCTAGATTCTCTAACATTAGGGGGAGATAATCAACTGAAAAATAAGTTATACATAATGAATTATCATTGGTATGATCCTCGTTGAAGAGATAATTTAAGTCAATTGTCAGATGCATTCGCTAACCCTATGTTATAATCTAGTTATAAATATTCCAATGATAAATTCTAGAAAGACGTAATTTATAGTATGCTTGAAGCGTGATAGATTAATCGATTCAAAAGATAAAATTTCTTGAAGAAGTAAAGGAACAAATGATCAAAATGATGATAATAATGAGACAAGTACTTTAGAAAGAGGACCATGACATAACACTTCATAAAACCTTGGCAAAGGTTCATATACTTGAGAATGATGAAAAATAAGGAGAGCTTGACAAGTTTTGTCATATTAGAATCTATATCAAATAATCGTCAACAATATCTTTAATATAATGTAGCGCTAAAAAATTATAAATGGTGACAAGGATCTTGAATTTAAATCCATCAAATGGTATGAATAGATCAATGATTGGACAATAAAATATGCACTTCAAGTATATTTTATTTCCCTTTTAAAAATGATATTTGGGACTTATAGTCCATATACCAAGATATAATGTTAGTGGGTTACAAATGAGTTATTATGCGACAAATAAAATCGTAAGATATAAAGTATGGTTAGTACTTTGAGGTATAAAGAGTTTTCACAGAAGTCCTGACATTATTGTATGGAGATGTGTTCTCATATGGTGGATGAAATGAGGTTTCTTTCCGTATGACAATATACGAAAAACTTGAATACATATAATGAATGATTATCATGTCTAGCTAGACAATAAATATTATATGAAAAGTCATGAAGGATTTTAAATGTTTTAAAGCAATTCCATTGAATAGTACCCCAATGGTTATGATATCGCTTGACATAAGGATCAACTTTGATCTTAATAAAATGGTTAGAAAGAACCATGTCATAGTGCAATTGATGCACCTATGTATCATGATATTATTATTCATGGTAAAATAATTTTATTAATGCGCATGCAAAATATAACATCACTTTTATTGGTGAAAATATTAGAGTAAATCAAATATTGATACAAATTATTTATTCTGGTCAATTGTAAGGTTTATTGATTATGAAATTGCAAGAAATTATGAAGTTTGATTTCAAGAAAGTTGTATTTTTTCATGTGGAAATACTGTCATATTAAATCATTTAAAAAAACAATCAGTTTTATTTTCATATAAGTGAAAGCAGTGGCGAATCTAGAGCCAAAAAAAAGGGCATCCGCACCCGTGGTCTTTTCGTAAAACTAGATATTTTATATGTATATTTTTTAAGATTTTGTATAATATTATATTCTTGCACCCGTACTACAAGAAGTCTAAATGATCCACATGGTTAAATGTTGAGCTTTTGACCTTGAGGATGAAGGATCAATTCTCACTTCAATACATTCTACTTGGTGCACCCATGTTCGAAAAATCCTAGATTCGCCTCTGAGTGAAAGTATCCACCAGTGTTTGGTTGTTGCGTCTAACAAGTCAAACGATCAATTTATCTATACCGACTAGATCACGAACCGAGTAATTGGCAAGAATATATTTGATCGAGATCAATAACTCCACACATTTAAGAAAAAATATGACATTCCTTCGAAAAGAGATAACCCAACAACATTATATGAAGACAATGATGCATATATAACTCAATTAGGAGGAGGATACATCAAAGAGGTAAAGCAAAATTCTTAATTTTGATATATTATCTTTATTTTATAGTAACATTTGACAATTTTTATTTATATTTCAATAAAATAAATAGTAGTGATAATTTAGCGAAGCAAATGAGTGGTAAAGGGGGCAACTACTAGAGTAGGAAGATAGTGTAGGTGCACCAAAAGATGGAACCCAGACTACCCACAAAAGTCGTTTTGAGCCGTTTAAAATTGGGCCCCATCCACATCCTCCAACCTTTTCTTCCATCACCTGTCAATAGTGATGTTTACTTTCACTAGTACTACTTTATAAGATTTTCAAATTTTTTGACAAGTTTGAAAAATAACACTCTTTTTGACTCCTTTTCTCTCTCTGTCTCCTTCTGCCACCACTTACTGTCTGTAGTTTTATTTAATGTGTTTTTCTTGAAACTATAAGAGGGGACGGCGGGTCCTCTATCAATATCTTATTGTTGGGGTTTCAACATACTCTTCCTTCTTTGATACTCTCCTTTTTTTCCTTTTTTTTTTTTTTTTTGAACTTGAAAAGATAAGCGCTTAGAATCTGGAAACTTTTGAGAAAGATGAATGCTTCAAAGTTCATCAAATGTGTAACTGTAGGCGATGGTGCCGTTGGCAAGACCTGCATGCTCATTTGTTACACTAGTAACAAGTTCCCTACTGTGAGTTTCTTCTTTTCCTTGTTATATATGCTCAAAACTACTTCTAATCTGGGCATTCTGTTAAGGAATGACAAAAATTTCATATGGATGGTTAATGAGATGAGTGGACTCTGATAAAGCTTGAACAATCCTTTATTTTTAGCTAGCTTTTGGGGCGTGAATTAAGCGTTGGACCTAATTTAACACATTCATCAACCTTTTTCCCCAAATCCGAATATTTGTTTTAGCGATATTTGAAGAGAGTTGTTCCAGTTCTTATTTTGGGGTTTTTCATGGCAGGACTATGTTCCAACTGTGTTTGACAATTTCAGTGCCAATGTAGCCGTGGATGGGAGCATTGTCAATTTGGGTTTGTGGGATACTGCAGGTACTTCAACTTTTTATGTAAATAGGTGGGGTTTTTTTTTTCTTTTACATTGGACTTATGTATTAACTTTGTGGTAAAGGTCAAGAGGATTATAGCAGGCTGAGACCACTAAGTTACAGGGGTGCAGACATTTTTGTATTAGCTTTCTCTTTAATCAGTAGGGCAAGCTATGAAAATGTTCTTAAAAAGGTACTCCTTCCAACACTTGCTTTTCTATATCATTATTTCATATGGAAAAAAAAGAAAAGGAAAGAGGCCTACTTATATCAACAAAAATGTTTTTTTTTTCTGACTTTGTTGGTATATCTCTATTAGTTTCATTGCCAATGATGCAAAAGTTTAATTTAATTATAAATTGAATGCAGTGGATGCCTGAACTTCGTCGTTTCACACCCAATGTCCCAATTGTACTTGTTGGAACTAAATTAGGTATGTGTTGAGGTGATAACTCATTTTTTTGTATTTTACAAGCCGATGGATATGGAGAGACTTGTTCTTGATTTCCTAGTACTAAGGATTATTCGTTTCTACATTTTTGCTAGATATTCGAGAAGATAATCGCTATCTAGCAGATCATATGGGCTCAAATATTATAACACCTGCCCAAGTGCGTTAATATGTTATTTTGGAATTTGCAAATGCTTTAACAGAGCTGGTACATCCATGACTCAATTGACTTGAATGCAGGGTGAAGAGCTAAGGAAACAAATCGGTGCAGCAGCTTATATAGAGTGCAGCTCTAAAACTCAGCAGGTATTTTAGCAGTGCTAAATATTAACCTTCAGTCTCATTAACTATGTGTTGGCTGCTAGGCAAACTTTTGCTGACACTTGTAAAGTTGAAGATATTTGCCTTTTAACTTAACTGATTTATGGCTGTCAGAATGTGAAAGCTGTTTTTGACACTGCAATCAAGGTTGTGCTTCAGCCTCCTAGGAGGAAGGAGGTAGCGAGGAAGAAAAGGCAAAGAAGCACTGGTTGTTCAATTGTGTAAGTTTTGCATTCTAACATATATTGTTATCAACAAGAATTGGACCATATAACAACTATATCCTTATGAGTTTACCATGTGCTACATACTTGATTGCGATATGCTTTACTTGAGCGGAGGGTCTACCGAATAACTGCGCCTCTCTACCTTGTTTGTAGAGATAAAGTTGTGTACACACCACCCTCCTCAGACTCCACTTGTGGGATTAAACCGGTTACGTTGTTGTTGTTGTTCCTTATGAGTTGACCTGATTGCTTACATAGCAATGCAATTTGAAACTTAGGTCATACTTCATCTAGTGTGAATCACAAGATGGAACTCTCTCCATTAGACTTTTAAACTACCAAAATGAAGGTTGTTAATCCAAAAACTCAACGGTCATTGTAAATTAGACAAATCATGGAAACAAGATATGGCCTTATGAGGTGCAAAATGTTGTTTCAATGTGAATTAAGGCTGATCTTTATCGCAAACTGACTCTGCTTGGAGGTGGTATGTTCAAATTCTATGTTTGAACTATACTATTTGCTTTACCAGGTTAAGAAGTAACTTGGGAGTTGGGATAAATGTTTCACTAAGCCATCTGAATTGGCTTAAGATTATCTGATTTTTACAAATATTTTGTAAAATGCTCTTCCATTTAGTTCTGTTAGATCCAAAATGTTGAGAATGCACTGAATGTGAATCAATGTTGCTATCCATATGCTTGCTCTTTGTATTGAGGCATCTATGGCTTGCTCTCACTAATTATATAGGCACTGTGCAGGTGGTGTATAGTCGGAGTCCATATTTATTAAAGCCTTTGCATTTGCTCTGCAAATATTTTCAACTACTTGATGAAGTTATTCTTAGTTCGTAACTTTATAAATGAGAACCATACTATGTTGCTTGTTGATAGACTATTTGTTCAATCTCCTAAGTCTCACTTGGTTTCAACAGCAGGGGGATCGTCTGTGGAGGCTGTGTTGCTTAGGAAAGTTTAGGATTTGGTGTTCGTGATATGTATCCTTTCCAACATGTACTGACTCAAGCTCTTCCCAGTTGTTTTTTTTTGCGGTACTAAGCGAAAGCTGGAGCTTGCATTAGTATGATATGGCTGACGAATATTGTATTGTATTGTATTACCTGTTTTGTAGCACAAACTATTTGTGGAGAAGCAGAGGGAATTGTTGATTTCCTCAAGTTATGTATTTTGAATGTGTTGGTCTTGTGGATGCACTGTTAACTTGGTACAAGGAATATTATCCCCAAATGCACTTTTTATCTTTTAAGATAAATTATTTTCTTTCTTTTTTTCATTTCGAAGACAGTTCCTTCAAAAAAAGACCAGAAAACAGGTCTCACATTCCTAAGTCGCTTGAACTTAAACCAGAAAAATGACTTCTAAATAAGAAGAAAACCCCATAACTTCATGTCAAGATTATTTGAAGTTACACACTCCAAAAAAGTTCCAATAGGTTAAAAAATAATGAAAATTTCCAAATTGGTTTTTGAATTTTTGGAATAAACAGCAATGTGAAGTATCACAACCTATAATGGAGACACGAAATGAACGTACTAAGGAAATACACTGTTTAACAATCTTTTACGACCGGAATAAAGAAGAAATTCTGACTAATAATAACCTAATCGGAAAAGAATACTAATTATTTTTTATTTATTGGATTTGGTTTAGAAATGTCATCGTTCACCCATTGGCCCAATATAGGTTAGACACTCTAAAGAAATGATTTTTGAAGGGGTGTACATAGTCAAGTGGCTTAGAGCCAGTTTGGCCATGCGATATAAAATTATGATTTGAAATTATGAGATGAAGTTGGTGTTTTGTTTGGACATGCAATTTGGATCTTAAGTCTTCTTCTCCAAGTAAGTTAGGGTTCTAATGATCTTCAAGTCTCCTCTTCCAATTTCACCAAGGGTTTCTATCAAGGTATGCGAGAAATTAATCATGGGTTCCTATTCACCGAATCATTCCCAGGAAACCTCAAATTCTCATTATGATGCCTAATTCTAGGGTTTTTCATGATTTTGCTTATGGGTTAAATTGATTTCAAGTTTATTCATCATAATGGATCTTGTTGTACATGATTTGATTAAAATGCAATATTTTCAATGATATTTTCATGAACCCATATAAATAATGTATGATTATGAATCAAGCTAGCTATATCAACATGCACGATTTGGCTCCCCTACATTACACTTTTCATCCATTTCGTCAAGTACACTTCTAGATGATAGACATGTGTTTTATTTAATTTTTAAAGGTCAAGATTATAGTATATTAATAAGTATTATAACCATAGTTAAGTCAACAATTTTTTGAAAAACTATTCTCCAAATTTGATAAGAACAAAATATTCCCCACAAATTTTATATTTAATAAATATCATTAATTTCATCCTATATTTTCTTATTCAAATATTTAAAAGTAGAACATGAATCTAACAATATTTTTATTTAGCCTGATAAATAACTGTCTTCGAAAATATTTTGGCTTTAAATATGTTTTCAAAATTCACAAAAAAAAAACAAAAAAACGAAGAAGATAAAAGAATAATTTTAAAAAACATATATATTTCTTTTTTTTCCTTCTTCAAACACAGCAGTCACACTTTCACCTAAACTTTAGAATTTTGATATTTCACATTTGTGATCTTGATAACATCTCGTTTTTTATTATTATTATTTTTATTTCCCTTTCTTTTATTTTATAATTTTTGTCAATATTGATAATTTTTTATCTTCTTTTTGGTTTCTCAACATAATATTTCAAGGGTAAAGTTTATTGCCACAATTTTTTTTTGGTTCATTCTCATCTTAAAGATCGCATAGTTAATACGTTTATTAAAAAATATAAGATGAAAATAATGATATTAATGGATATTAAAATTTATGTGGAATATCTTGTTCTTACCAAATTTGGAGAATAGTTTACCAAAATTTGTTAACTTAACTATGGTTATAATACTTCTTAATATAATATAATCTTGACCTTTAAAAATTGAATAGGACGTATGTCTCTCATCTAGAAGTGTACTTGACGAAATGGAGGGAAAGTGTAATGGAGGGGCCAAATCCCAATATGCATGCATTATGATTATAAGTTGTGGTGTACTAATTTTTAATATAGTCCTCTCACATAGTAATTAGAACAATCTTCTCACGTTGAACTTGCATTTGTCGCTCATATAACTAAGAAGACGAACCAACATTGTTACTTGAGCCATTTGTTGGCCAATTTGGTTGATAAATAAATTTGATAAAAAATAATAAATTTGGTGAATATAAATGGTAAAGTAGAAATTGATTTGAAGTAATAATAAATTATATGTTAGTGAAAATAATCATTATATAAGATGTAAATGACTTAAAAAGTAATGATATGAATTATAAATTTTATTTGCATGTCCATACATATATTCCTATAAGACAAATAAAAATGCTTATCCCCGAGCTTGCTAGCCAAAACAAGATTCACACAGGTCAATGCCTATTTGGGATAGTCAAATGCACCTATTCTATGGAAATCATCTATGTTTTCACCTGTGATAATGCCTATAAGGCATCAAGGCACTGTCGACTAGCTAGGGGTATCTTTGGTTAATATTGGTGTGGAACATATATTTAAGAATCCAGGATACTATTCTTTAACTGATAAGGGGTTAGTTCAACCTCTTCCATTCTAACATATACTTACCTTGAACCTCATAGTCCAAGCCTAAGAGTTTTGTCAAACCCTTTTATTGTAAAGCAGTCGTCACTCGTTGTTCAAGAAAAAACTTGAGGTTGCGGTGGTCTATTATGATAATAAAGTGAGCACCCTCTAAGTAGTGTGTCCTCTTGTCTACTGCTGATAGGAGAGCCATGTACTCCTCATAAGTGGATAATCCCAAGTGTTTATTAGCCAAAGCCTTGCTAAAATAGGCAATTGGTCTTCCCCCTTGCATTAGGACAACCCCAATTCCTTTAGAGCAAGCATCTGTCTCCACAATAAAGGGTTTAGTAAAATCAGCCAATACCAGGACAAGAGCAGAGGTCATTGCCACTTTAAGTTGTTGAAATGCCTTCTCAGCTTGGTCATTCCACCTAAAAGCATTTTTCTTCAAAAGGTTCGTGAGGGGCCTACTAATCACTCCATAACACTGAACAAACCTCCTATAATATCATGTTAGGCCTAGAAATCCCCTCAAGGCTTTCAATGATTTAGGTGTAGGACACTTGGCCATAGCTTGTATTTTTGAGGGGTCGGTAGCCACTCCTTGCCCAGTGATAATATGCCCCAAATATTCAACTTTAGACGGTCTAAAGGAGCATTTAGACAATTTTGCATATAGTTGCTCTTTCCTCAGTATTGTCAATACTTCACTGATGTGGTGTATGTGTTCTACTATGGAAGTACTATAGACCAATATATCATCAAAGAACACAAGGACAAATTTATTTCAAATACTTCTGAAATACATGATTCATCAATGACTGAAATGTAGCAGGATCATTAGTTAACCCAAAAGGCATAACTTAAAACTCAAAGTGCCCCAAATGTGTCCTAAATGTTGTTTTGTAAATGTCCTTATCACCCATTCTTATCTGATGATACCCCGCTGGTAAATCAATCTTAGAGTAGATACAAGAACCATGCAACCCATCCATTAAGCCATCAACTAAAGGAATAGGAAATTTGTCTTTAATGGTCATAGAATTCAATGCTCTATAGTCAATGCAAAACCTCCAACTATTGTCCTTCTTTTTGACTAGGAGAACAAGAGAGAAAAATGGGGAGTGACTAGGTTGCATGATCCCATTAGACATCATATATGCCACCTGTTTCTCAATTTCATTTTTTTGAAAAAAAAATTATACATGTAAGGCTAATACTAATTGGTATTGCATCTGATTTCAAGGGAATGAAGTGGTCATGATTCCTTCTAAGAGGAAGTGAATTGGGCTCGGCAAACACATCCGGGAATTAGTGAAGAACTGTTGTAATCTCCATATGCACTCTTTATGGTTCTTGATGTTCTACAACTGAAATTGTGAATAAATGAGCCCATATGGCTTGACCCTTCTTGAGCAGTTTTTTGGCCCCATTAACAGACATACTCTTCAATTCACGTTAGTGATGTATACCCTTGAGCTCCACTCTTTTCTCTTTGTGGGTAACCTACACTTTGTACTCAATAAAATCTAACAATATTGGGTTGTGAGCCTTCATCCAATCTCCTCCCAAAATCATGTCATTACCTCCCAGCCTCAGTAATCTGACTGAATCTTCAAACACAATTCCTTGTATCTTCCATTGAAGCTTCTTGCAAGAATGTAGCCTCATGATGTGATTGTCACCTGCCACCGTAAATCTCATGGTTCTAGCCTCTGATATGACACATCCCATCTTTTTGGTAGTCTCTAGGTCTAAAAATCGGTGGGTACTTCCCGAGTCTAACAAAATGGTCACCTTATTCCTTTTTGATTCTCCGTTGAGCTGAATAGTATTAAGACCTTTAGATCCAGAGAGTGCATTGAGGCTAATGGATTCTTCCACCACTTCATAGCTCTCTTCTAGTTCTGGAATAACTCCATCTACTTCTTCTTGGTTTCCACTAGGACCTGGATCATGTTGCTCCTCTAACCTCATGAGGGCGCTAATCTATTTTGGTTTGCTCTGATGACCATAGAAGTATACTTCTCCATATTTATAACAGATCCCATTATTCCTCTTAGCATCTAGACCTTGACTTACTTGTCCCCCTTGGCTCACAACATTCCCCCCCCCCCCCTCTATTGCTATGTTGGGAGTTGCCTTGGGTTGGAGCTCTTGTGCTTATTCCTCTTTTCGAAGAGGTTCTGCTCTTCATGTTTTTGGACATCAATGACCTTTTCCTGGTGCCTATCCTTCTCCACAGCCTAACTCATAGTGAAAGGATTAAGCATTTTCAAAGTATGCCTTATATCTTCCTTGATGCCTTCCACAAAGAACTCTAAACAAAATTCCTCCGGCATGGTGGGGTTTATGATCGTCACCCAAGTTTTTAAGTCTTCAAATCTCTTCAGATACTCATTGACTGTGGCTTTTTGTTCTACCTACTTGAACTCCCAACAAGGTTGAACTTGCTATTCTCAGCATTCTGAAATCTATTGCACAATTCATCACAAAATTCTTGTCATCTAACTCTACCTTTGCTCAACTGGTAAGAGAAATACCATGCTTCCCTACCTTTGCTCAACTGGTAAGAGAAATACCATGATTCATCC